GTGCTCTAGGAGGAGATTCAGGTGATGAGGTGTTGGGGGTTAACTTGGTTGGTGATTGGCTAATGGTTACACAAGCCAAAACATCGTTATGACATCATGAAGTGGGCAAAATCAGCTCATTTTCAGAAAGGTTTTTATATAAATGGATCAGAACAAAAAGTGAGAGAATCTTTTTTTCCTGAAACTTTCAGAATCTCTTTACACAGAGGGGACACATGTTTATGTATAGAAGACATGAAAAAGTGGATTTCGCATAATAGGTGACCTTTAACAGTAGGTCTAAATACATAACATACATCAGAGGTGATGTTCTTCTCCTGTCAGCCGCACATATATCTGGCTCACTTTATCCTCTTCCCTCCTCTTCCCTCTTACCTTGACAGCAACGTGCAGCTTGGCGGTCTTCTTGGAGGATCCAGAGGCTTCGTAAATGGTTCCATCGAGGTCCACGGACATGGTGAAGACTGGAGCGTGAACCGGGCCCGACTGGGACAGCAGGCGGTACTGCAGCCCCGGCCGGATCTGGTTCAACCGCATCAGGGCGTTCATAGGCTGGTTGGAGTCTATGGCTTTACTGTCTAGGACTAATGTAAAGAAATAGAGAGGAATGGTTACAAGTAGGGCATATTAGGATAGATTTATTAGGGTTTCACAGGGGATGTACTGATTATCCAGCCCTAATTGGACAGACTGGCCCAATTCAGGGACACTGTACCCAATAAATCACATTTTCTCAAAGGTTTCCCGCACACTCGTCGGTTGTTTTTTACGATGAATAAAAGGTGCCTCTCTATTTTTCTCTCCTCTATTTTCTCTCCTTTTCAATCACTTTGCTCCACTTTGCCAATATCTAAAAATGCCTCTCAGTCTCCATTAGCCTTGATTCGTCTTCTCCTTGTATGAAAAAAGATCTGGGGATGGTTGGGTGGCCTACTAAAACGTTTGAAATCAATAGTATTGATCTGCCTCTAAGGGATAGGAGGAAGGTGGAAGGCAGAAAAGCAGACAGGGAAGACATTGAGACGGGGAAGAGAAGCAAAGCTTGTCTGTGGTTACGGAATATGATTACTTTCATCTCATGGCACTGCTTTGTTGATCAGATTGAATTCAAATAAATCCAATGCTAAATTAAACTTTTGTAAAATGGGATTTATTTTGTTGTTAATTTCTTGAAATGCATACTTTCCTTCACACTTCAAAATAATTGGGGACGCACAAGAAAGTAACAATTGCTCGTCCTTCCCTACTTCTCGTACCTTTTCTTAGATTCCTCTTCATCTTCTTGATGAGGTCTTTGTCATCCATCGCTCCATCCTCATACGGCCTTTTCAGACCTAAACCTGGAGAGAAAGATGGAGGAAGTTACCAATCAATGAGTCACTACAAGAGACGTTTGTATGAGAAAACACACAGAGGCAGAGAAGACAAAGAATATGTGAAAAGAAGAATAAAGATGAATAAACTCACAGACAAGATCAACAGAATAGACATGCAGAGCAGCAACAGTCAACAATGACAAAGACATATAAACATATTGGCATCATTACAGTAGGCGCCAAAAGTCTTGAGTCAATTCTCTTTGAAATTGCTTCAAAAATGTGCCAACTTTCTCTTGTTGCACATTTTCATGTATTTTCACCAAGGCTAGGCATGTTTTGGCTAACACGCTGAAAGATCGGAAATAAAGAGGCAATATCTGCAATACATGTTTTTTTGTGGTGCTTCACATGTCAAGAATACTGACAGCGCTGCTAAGGTGCGAGTGTGTAAAAACATCGAATGCATCCAGAAAGCTCATGTGATACGTGAACAGATTTGATGGCAAGTCCAATCTATGTTCATAGTGTGCTATAGTTTTCATGTGAGAACAACAGACTGACAAGCCATTTACACAAACAGATTTACAGGCAGGTGGACATACCTTCTTTGTCTGACCAAGGGTATTTATGTGATGGTTTATTTGAGGGAAGAGGGTCCATTTCCAACACCTTGTAGATCTGTCCGAATGCCATGAGTCTCAGGGCATGCTGTAAAAGGCAACATGTAGGGAAGATACATTCAAACCAGAGGAATTCTACCACTTACTTGATTTCCCATAATTCACTTTTCAACAACAACAAACGTTGGGTTTGCCCTTTAAATGGAATGTTATGGAATGAAATACATTGAAAACATTTTCCTCTCTTTAAATTTGAGTCATGATGACACAGACCAATGATGAGTAAATGACCTGTAGTTTGCTCCATGTATCCACGATACAAGCTTTGTACAGCCGTCTTATTGTGATAAATGGTTAGTTCTGTAGGAACTTGAAGTGGTAATAAAATAAAGCCAATAAAGCAGGAGTTTTTACATTCTGGTTGAAAAACAGACAGACAAGACATCAAGAGTCTTCAGGCTGATGTTCATCTTCGCAAATGTAAGAAGGCCACGTCTGAACACAGAAGCAGTTGTGCAAACATGAATGTATGTAAATGTGCTCCGAATCTGTCAGATAATTGCATTAATATACGTGTATAAAATCCACCTTGAGCTATCTTGCAACACAGACCATCACATTTGTGCTCAAAGATAGTTCATTTATCATTCTCGAATCTACACATACTCAATTTATACAAACAATTAGAAGTACACGCAGAATGGGCGACAGTGGCTCTGCTAATACAAAGCCATTAGGGAGGTGGAGTGTCTCAGATATTCATGAGTCTCCACGCAGCTCATTGACAGAGCAGCTCCCTCTCCTCTATCTACTCTTGTATCTGCTCTGATACAATTATCCCCATTGACATTCAGGCCTCGTTCAGGCTGCCTTCAAAGGAAATGGACGACAGGATTCACTAAGCCATGCGGCTCAGAGGCTGCCCTGCTCAGTGGAGTGTGTGTGTGAGGAAGGACATGGAGGCACGCGCGCCCGAAGTGCATGCACAAAGATTCTGTCCTCGGGGTGTCAGGGATGGATTTATGGCTAGCAATGGCAATAGTTTCCCACACGATCGTTAAAATTCAGCACCACACACCACGCTCTGAAGACGTGCACGCTCGAACAAGTGTGTGTGTGTGTGCGTGCGTTTTGGGTGGTGTTGGGTCTTTCTGTCTGGTAATAGGCATGTTGCTTACTGATTCCCACAAACTGACAGCTCAGGGCAAATGCAGCTGGGTGATAACAACTGTGTCTTCAAGTGGAAGTGTGTGTGTGTGTGTGTGTGTGTGTGTGTGTGTGTGTGTGTGTGTGTGTGTGTGTGTGTGTGTGTGTGTGTGTGTGTGTTTACCTGTGCACGGGAGGTAATGGCCTCAGCCTGCTGGTCTGTCATGTTGGTTAGTGTGTTTGTTGGCTCTTTCTCACACGGGTCGTGTAAACCTGGACCACCTGGGGGAAGCGACAGGAACACAAAGTCAGTTGTTGTCACTTTGCGCTCTGTCACTGCAGCTCGGCGACATTTAATTAAGCTTCACTTCACTGTCATTAAACAAGTGACGACAGGAATCTTGACAATTAAAGTGGACAACAACAGGAGCTAAAGGAAAATGTACCTGGTCATCTTGCCTGTGATGTATTCAAACCAGTCACTTAACATAAAAAGGTAAAACCCTTCAAACTTTAAGTGTGACACAAATTTGAATAAATATTCTAGTTGGCACATTCTTTGTAAAATAAACTAGAGCTGTTTATTTTTTTCGCATTTTGTTAATCATTCTCAAATATCGCTTATTTATCTTTTAACATATTCTAAAAGACATCTCAGTGCTTTCTTAAGTTGGCTTCAGTCTAGTGGGACATAACTTGCTTTTGCCTCCACATCTCTCACATTAAGTCAAAGGAAACTCAGCCTTCACGTACTTCTGAATAATTGAATTCCTGCCAAAGATGCACAACATTTGGTAACAGAAACCCCTTCAGCTGCTCCTAATTAAAAGGCTCATGTAATGATGACCTTCCTCAGACAGCTGCGCTCTGCTGGGTCATTGATGATGTCTCGACCTTTCACAGAAACAGCTCTAAAATGTGCCAAGCAGAGCCTCCACGTGTCAGCTCATCGTCCCTTGCGATATCCACCAGCGAGGCCAATTTGCATAAAAACCCACATTCTTCAGTGGGGATTGCTCTAATCTGCCCATCTGTATATGCATGCATCCACTAGGCTCCATACCTGGTAGCAGTATGCCTGAGGCCACACACTCCATGACTCGACGCAGGGCTTCTCCGGCCCCCAGAGGTCTGTTGCAGGTGGCGATTGCCTTCTCGCAGATAAGCTCTAAGGGCTGCAGGAATACACACACAAACACAAATATGAAAATGCAGCTCTAAAAAATAACAATTATTGTAATATGTGATCAAACATGGGGCGTGTTGACTGACACTTATATCTAAGAAAAATCTCTATCTGTTGCTTACTGTGATATTTTTATTTCAACAGTTACTTTATTTTGTATTTCTTTATTATTATTGTATTCTATTTGAGCTTTATGTTTTACCTTGGGTGAATACTGTTATTCACTCTGAACCTGTTGCTGCTATAAACGCCCACACTTCCCCACAGGGATACATAAAGTTCCATCTTATCTTATCTATTAAAGGTTGGATCCACGTTTTCTCACTTAACATACTTATTTTGCAAGATTAACATCACATCTAGAGATCATAATGAGGATATGTTATATAGTGTACACTGGATTATATACATGTATGAGCCAACCAGTTCAACTATGGATGATTGTGGGCACAATTCTTAAAATTCCAGTAACAATATGGACCTCCCATTAGAGTAGGAAGATGAGTAACATTTTGGAAAAACGCACAAATGCACAAATGTCAGCATACAAGTGTATTCAAGTTCAAGAGGGCTGAACAGGTCATTACAGCAAACACTCACCCATCCCTTGAGAGGTTCCCAGATGGAGTGTCTATTGCACATGTCTCTAAGTATCCTGAGAACGATAACGCAGGACTTGAGCCCGTTCACTCGAGCCTGAGAGCGACCGAGGAGATGGAGGGGGGGAGAAGAAGGAAATTGAGTACAGGAGGAGGGGTATTTGTGCAATCACAGTTAGATAAACAGCCTGCTGTGCACAACAAAGACACATAATGAAGTGATTATATCCGTGTAAAACCCCACAGAGAATAACTATCCCACTTTTAAGACAATTAACGTTATGAATTGAAATCACTGGCATGTTTTACAAAAAATATTTCAGAAATAATAATATTTTTTTGGTATTTACCTTTAGAAAATACCTTAATTCTGAACTACAATGTTGTCAGTAAGGTAAGTGAGGTGGGAGATAGATGGGGAAAGGTATGGGAGGGGAATCAAAGGGAAGCATTGACATACTGTACAGAGCAGGCAGGTTCACATAATAGCCAAAAAGAAAAACAAGTATCAACCATTGCTTTTGTAGCCTTACGATTCATCTAACACCTAAAGTCTATATACAGTATGTGGAAAAAATACAGATTTGGATCATTTGAAATATAGTGTAATGATGTAATATTTATCCCTTTTTGTTCATGTTGAACATAATTTGCAATTATTCTATCTAATTGTGTCACCCTCCTATCTATTGTGGTTTAACTTAATCTGTGTGAGTATAAATAATGCCCCACAGCATTATCTGACAGTGAGTGTCTGGCCTCTGGGTGAATCGTCAGGCTACAATAAGCACCGGGCAGGAAGACAGGAAGTGAGTGGGTGCCGACCTGGAACCACTTGGCGTGTCGCAGCGCTGCCAGGGCCAACAGACATCTGTGTCTATCCAGCACCTCCCCCTCCTCCTCCTCAGCCTCCACTCTCTGCGCAGCAGCACCCAACACTGCCACAAAACAATAACAACCCGATATAGAGAACGTGAAACACACACACGTCAGGTCTGAGTGTGTGTGTTTGAACTGTGCGTGTGTGAATGTGTGCAGACACACTTGGAATTGTGTGTGAGAGCAAACATACACACACAAATGCATGGATATTTTTTGTTGGTACATACAAGGTGCTTTTCATGCCATAAAGTTGTTCCTCTCCTTGTAGAAAGAAGCGCTGTCTCTCTACAGGTTGTGTTTCAACACTGTGATCAGTCTATCAGTGTTGACTGCATCACATGTTGACTTCTTAACCCATATTAATACAGGTTGCTTGTATGAATATGTGCTAACAATGACACGCACTATTAAACCGTGATTTAGTAGTTTACAACCATCCAGTCACTGACAAGTCAGCAACCAGGGTCACAAGAGAAGAGACAACTTTGTGAGATGGAAAGGCACACAGGGGATAGGCTTCAGACATATACTAGACAAATACTTAAGGAGTGTTTGATTTAATGTGAGGGCATTGTTGGGACACATCCATTCATTTGGCTGTGCCCAGCAAGGTAAATCAACCTCTCCTTTACGTATTTGAGGAGGATTTCATTTATTTTGATCCAGTCTGCACCAGGCAGGAGTCAAAATAGGAGTTTTTATTTTTCTTCTGGATTACTTAAGGTGCACCTGATTTCACAGGCTCATATAGAAATGGTGCAGAGAAAGCAATTCAACTCCCTGTCTGGGCAAATGAAGAATCAAGCGTTTCTAAAGTAGAACTAAAAGGAAAAAAAATCTAAGATAGTTTGACCCAGGGTCAGACAAACACAACACAGAGGAAGGATCAAGGCAAGGGTTTAGTCAGAGAATCGTGGTTGGTAAAAAAGGAGCATTATTATTATTATATGTATTCGTTTGATTCATGCCGCCGAGCACGCCAGGATGGTTGACTTACCACGCTCTCTCCAATTCTCCAGGTCAACACAAAATCTATGGTGTGCAAGGCGAGCTGATTCAAATGCAGCCGTGTATGAATGAGTGCGGTTACATGGTGTTTCTGGAGAGGGTTTATTGTGAGCGGGACCTACTGCTAGTGACATAAAACACACTAAAGAGCCCTATGGGTCTCTCTGAAAACACAACTAGGTAAATATTTTCCTCATCACTTTCCCGTGAAAAGAAAATCCTTCCCTAAAGAGGTATTACGTTGAAATGTCAGATGTGTAGTAGCACGAGCAAGATGACATCTATTTCACATTATCCCTGGACTCATATGGCCATTATCACAGCGTAGCTCTTCCCCTATGTGTTACGAATGCAGTGGTGTGTGTATTCGTGTTACGTTGTGATGTATAATGGTGTATCTCAAGGTCTGTCAGTGATCCCAGCTGCATTTGGGATTGCTCTGCAGCTAGTGGATCATTACAGCCTTTCTCGTCTTGCTTGCTTGTCCTCCAGCTGCTCTCTCAAACGATCTGCCGGCCGCTGCCTCACTTAGCGCTCTTTTTTTCATCTCCTTCTGTGTTACTGACGCCATCCTCTCCCTCAGACTGACTGGAAAAATATCCCTTTGCTGCTGTGTCTCCTTTAATTTACTGTCGCATCACCCTACGAAGCGAGCTGTATCTGAGCTTAAAGAGCACGCAGGGATTAAATCACTCAACTATGTATCAAATCAAACACAGTACCGTTGATATACAGGGTGACTGATGTGTGTGGCAGATAAACATAACCAAGCACTATTTTAATTAAATATATTTAATGCCTTACAGAAAAAAATACATTGTGTATAATACATTGCTGTTGATGCTTTAAGAGAGCAGGAGGAGGCGAGACATTGGACAACACCACTGGTGTGTCTGACTATCAATACATGTGTTAATGTGTTAAGGTGTTAGACCCTGCCTTTAATGATGAGACCCTATTAGTCATATTGGCTCACATCCCTTAACCGCCAGGTGCCTTGACAAATGAGTAGCAATTAGACATCCAGTGTGACAGATATCTTTATCCCTCTGGGACAAAATTAAAGTGTCTTGTGCTCCGTGTGTTGCGTGTGCATGCCTCTTAAAGAGAAATATACGAGCGGTCCTCTCCGTCTTGCCGTGGCATGACGTACGGCTGACCTCAGCTCTATCTCTCATCTCTCTCTGAGACCTGAGTGTCTAGTTGGACGGGAGCCACAGGATGCATGGGCAGCTTGCTACTGCTCCGTTATTGATTTCTCTGGCCTTGCCTCGCCGTCCCACCTCCCACAACCAATTATAATCAGCTCCTGCTACCCCTGACAACGTGTGGGGGGGGATTGTCATTAGACTGAACACCAGGCTTCAGCTCTGGAATGTGTCCTGTCGCTGTCTTGTGTCAGCAGAAGTTAAAGAGGGCATGCCTTTTGTTGGCTTGAAATAAAAACAGTTCTATATACATATTATACAAAGTGGGATGTGTGTTAAAAATAGAGGGAAAAACTACAACTGATGTGTTCCTACCTCGCCCGTTCTTCTTCTCCTCCTCTTCCTCCTCCACCTTTTCATCCTCCACTTCCTCCTTCTCCTCCTCCGCCTCTTCCTCCTCATGTCCTTCCTCCCCATTCTCCAACTCTTCCTCTTCCTCCTCCTCTTCCTCCTCGTCATCCCTCATGGTCGGCGAGGTGAGGGTGATGGTCAGTGTGAGTTTGGGCTCGGTTGTAGTTCGTACCAAAATGGCCGCCTCGGGCAAGGAGCTCGTGACCTCGTATTTCTCTTCTGTCAGCTTCTGTCATGTGTCAGACAGACATAACTGCACGGTCAGAGGCCAAGGTCACAACATGACTCGGTGCATATGAAAAAGAAGCAAATATATCTGAGCCTGACGCCGCTTCAACATTCAATATCACCAGGAATGACAGGAGAAATATCAAGTGAATACTGTACATGAGAAACAAAACATTAGCATTGCAAATACTGTGTCTGGGGATATTATTTTATTCTGGTGCCTTAGATGTGACTTGTCTATCCACAGATTATAATTGGCAAAACAAAGACCTGTTCCAAGTATTTATAACAATACGCAAATGAAGAAAGGGCTCTGAATAAAAACTGTAAAATGAAATCATCTAATGATAAGAGCACAAGAAACTCTTGAAAGGTGAAGTAATAGTGTATACTGTATTACCAACACTGGTGCAAGCTCTTTCTGAATTGCAGAGGCATTGTAACCATCGTGTGTGTCTGTTTACATTGTTTCTCAGTGTCAGACATGCATTGTGAAATTGTATTGAAATGTTCACGATGCTCCATTCAGTCCGCTTTCTAAAGCAATCAATTACTGCTGACCTCTGTGGTCAGGACTGAGAAGTACTGAAGATAATGAATTCATGTCAGTATTCACAGCGGCCACATTTGTTACTCGGTACAAATGCATTTCAGCACACGTGCCTACAAACAAGAATTAATGGGATAACAACCACTGCGACAACGACCCGTAGACTCGCCCACTAACACACTTAAAGGAATGAACACACATCAACACACACAACCCTGCAGGCAAAAACAGGCACACACAGACTCACAAATGCAGTTAAAACCATAACTCTAAATATTGAATAAGATGATAAGTAAACAAGTGAAGGAGTATATGCTGCTCTGGCGCTATTTTCTAGCAGACTATGTGTTTGTTTAAGTGTGTGTGTTTGCATTTCTTACATTGTTGGGCAATAAATCTGTCATCCAGTTACATTATGAGAACCTAGGTCCAATGTGGAGGCACGAAACTGAACCATAGAAGGTCCATCACTTATGTTAGGGCTTAGATTAAAGTAAGCTTCCAGGACATTCATGCAAGGCAATGCTGTGTCCTCCCACACAACAAAAACAACTGTCTCTCTGTGTGTGTGTGTGTGTGTGTGTGTGTGTGTGTGTGTGTGTGTGTGTGTGTGTGTGTGTGCATTGCTAAGACTGCTTAAGTGAGCAGTGAGTCGCAGAGGGCCCATCTACATCCCATTTGCCCCTGATGAGAAAATCAGAATCTCTGGTCACTGGGCTGAGACATGAGATTACCTCCCTACCCACACACTCAGAGACACACACACACAACACACACACAACACACACACAACACACACACAACACACACACAACACACACACACACACACACACACACACACACACACACACACACACACACACACACGTTCACTCCCTCACACCACTTAACTGCTAAAGAGAACAGGCAGAGAAGAGGCACCGAGGCAGAATTTATTCATTGAGTAATTTCTGCACTAGCCGCCCAGGTCGTGGAGTTTTACCACGTTAGGTTATTGGAAAAATATTTCCCCTCTGACAGATTTTTGTGAAACCAAAGCTGCCTTGATAGAGCTGACAAATATCTCAAGGGATTTAAAAAAAAAAGGCCTCTTATCTTTAGGAGCTTCTTAGAGGAAAACAGTCTAAACCTTTGAATCCCTAGAGATCATTCAAAATGACCAGCGAACAAATACAGGAGTAAAAGTTAAGGATCAGTGTGTTTTGTTTTTCTGTGCCAGGACTTGTTAATGAGGATACATGACACTGAAGCAGTGACAAGAGCATTAATCACAGGTGACTCATACATACTAACACCACTCTCGACTTCTCACTTGACGGCATTGCAGTCTCTTGCCTGGTTACGCCAACACTCACGACGCTTCTCTCTACATCTACACATCATAATATGGGAGCTTTGATATCTGACATTGGAGAGGAAGGTACAATACAACTACAGTTTCTTAGATTACATTTTGCAGTTGCATTGTGTGTGTTAGTAAGAGAAGCATGAACGTGAGTGTGCGTCTGTGTCTCTAACCTCTATCTGTGTGGGTAAATGTTGACAGACAGTGTCCAGCAGTGTCTGTGTGGGTTTGTCTCTGCACATCAGCACCAGCTCCAGGTCCATGTCTCCTTTGATCAGGAGGCCTTTGGCCACCAGGCCGATCCTCATTACTCCACACAGCACGGCACCATTAGTGGGCTCTCTGTTTTTAAATGGGAAAATGAATGACAGGTAACATTAGTAACCCAAGTTGATTTGACTGTAAAGACAAACATATTTCAAGCTTATAGGGTAGACAATTTTTGTTGTTGTTGTTAATGTACTGTAAGGTCAATTACTTTTTTATTTATTTATCTAAGACAATGAGGTTATGGTTGTGGTTTTTATGTCACTTTGTAAGCAGATTATGAAAATGTACCAGCCCGATGTTCATGAAAACTTTAGAATTGGCCACGCCCATTACATTAAGGATTTAGGGAAGGACTTATAGAAACAGCCTTGGCAGAGGTCTGCATTCTTTATAAAAAAATGTCAACCTCTTTTTTCCAATATAATCCCACGACTCACAACAAAGGATATCTTAATATGAATCAGTATTTGATGTAATCTCTGGTGAGTAGCTGCATGATTAAAAGATTAAAAATACAAGGTGCCAGTTAAGATTGTAAAAATGAGATCTGACGAGACAATTTAAGACATTAATGAGAAAGTAGTGGACCCTTAATAAAAGATTCATGAAGATAGCCGACCATGGTGCAGTGCCCAGAGATTGTCAAGTGGTTGGTTAAGTTAATTTTCTCCGGAGCTGCACATGCTCCTGCTGTTCATATAACTGTATGCCAGAAAGCAAAATGAGTGTATTTCAGAAAATGATAAACAATTAAGTAACATTTTAGTAAGAGAAACAAGCCCGTTGCCTCTCACCTCAAGTGTAGGCAATATGATCAATCTGTTCAATAGAAACATTAGTATCATGTCTAGTATTTGTCATTCTACTCCACCTGTAGCTGTCACTGGAATCCTCCGTTTCTTCGCTGGGCTTGTCACCTGGATTGTCCTCCTGTGTGCTGTCTGCTGGTTGGCTGTCCACCTGGCTGTGGGCGTCGCTGTTGGAGTGATCCATCCAATCAGAGACGTGTTTGAGGGCGCACTCGACGGTGGACACCAGCGTCTGAACGGCTTCCAGCTCTTGTGAGGAGGGGTAGATGGTGGAGTGTTTTGCCATGACATGGCGGTCATCGTTACTGAAGGACCGGAAGGACCTCTGGAAAGAACAGAAGAAGAATGAGGGGTCAGTACAAATATATAATGCACATTCTGATTAAATTGTGAAAACAGAAAAGAGGCACACACACACCTGGACACACACAAATACACACAGCAAGGACACACCTGGAGGGAGGTTTTCAACAACAGGTGGAGCTTTAATCCATCAAATTGAGCTTTAATCTCCCTTGCCTGAAATCTCACACCGTTTGCAAAAATACTCACCACCACCACCGAACGGCAAAAGAAATTCAAGACAAACACGCTTACTGTCCCACTAAGCGCACGTACAAGTGGCTTCTTTATAGGTTGCTTTGGTGCAGACTGAACATTCATCTCTTTTATGGTAGGCTACACAAATCAAATGTTAACTCAGTGACAGCTTCCATTTAATGGCACTGACCCTGACATGCATGCATGGTCACAGGGATTCATCTGACCATCCTCCTCAAATCCTCACTACCTGTCATATTTCAAATCAGACTTTATGGCCTGGGTATTTATGTCAGCTATATACTCTTAGTTGCTCCTGCTCACTCTCTGGGAGGTAGGAGGAGAAACACGCTGGAAGGAGGAGATCAGGTGGGAGAGTAAACAACATCAAATAGAAGGGGCAGAGGAAGGCTGTGGGAACAGTACAGCATGTTTAAAAGGGAACAAGGACATAAAACGGTTGCAGCAGGGGAGGAAGGATTCAAAGACGGATGGAGAAGTGAAGAGATGAAGGAGAGGGGCAGGTGCAGCTGAGGCCTTTGTGAGTCGCACACTCTGCAATTAATACCATCCAGATGGGTCCCTGTGCATTCATATGAAAGTGTGAACTATATGTCATCTGTTTACATCTTTCATATGTCACAGCATGTCAGCAGGTGGCTTTTAATGGGAGGGAATATCTAAACATCTGACCAGTGGGTATTGACATTATGTAATGTTATATAAAACTGATACAACAGTGAATATTAAGCAGCCATGTAGAGAGAGATACATCATGGGACAATAAGAAAAATAACATTGAGAGGGATTTAAAAGATCCAACAGCAAAACACATTTGCTTTTTTACATTTCTGTTGTACTTTTAAATTCTCTTTTCTTTGTCTATTGCTGTTTTGATATTTCATAGATCACGAAGGCATTGATTTGAATTCATCTTGATCATTGTAATTCAGTTTGGCTTGGTCCAGCTTTTTGTCTCTTCCTTCACTCTGTGTTTTTTTATGATATCATATCTGAGAGGAATAATTATGTTTACACAGTATTGTTTACATTATGAGTTGGTAACATGCATCTAAAGAATGTGGTTCATTTTTAATCATTAGGGGTTTTTGCACTATGCCGGGGAGCCTGAGGCACGTTCAACATGAAGAGGCTGCTCTCAAGACGCCGCTTATCTACAAGACCCACATTTCCCTTTATTCGCTACATGCACATGCACATCTACACAAAGGGAACCACACACACACACACACACACACACACACACACACACACACACACACACACACACACACACACACACACACACACACACACACACACACACACACACACACAGAGAGAGAGAAGGGTTGACCTTTTTCGTTGTAATATAGATAGTGTGGCTCCAGCGCTGCTATCAATCTACTTGAAATCCAAGGACCAACAGCGTGCACTCACCCACTTCATCCCATTCCTAATTGAACTGGTGACACACTCTTCCAGCAGAGAGAGTGAGATAAAGCTTTTAACAGAATGGAGGACAGGCTCAGCATCACAGCCTGTGTAGCTCACTTTGTATAGTGGCACACATTTTCCGCAATGTTTTTTTTTATCTCTGTTCCTACATTACTGCTAGGACTCATCAACAATTGAGATACCTGAAAACTATTTTCCAATATTGAAATTCTTCATCTTCATATCTTGTTATGATCGCCATTAACTACTGAATTTCCCCCACGGGGATTAATAAAGCTCCATCTTACTGTATCTTATCTTGTCTTTTATGCACATCTCCATTTGACATTTTCAGCCAGCCAATATTTTTTAATTGAAATCAGTTTTTATTCATCAGTGTGATGAGGCATGTGTCAAAAAATGATTATGCAATAAGAGGGGCAACAGGACGTGTTAGTCACTTTTATGACACATACATTCACAGGTGGAGTGATTACTTGTGTCTTTCCTGTCGTAGAACAAAACTTGCAAATCTCTTCAGCTTGTGTGTCAACCGCAGACCTTATCTCAGACTTCTAACCACAAACATGTTCAAAACACAATTGACTTCCAGAAGAGGGAACAGGACGTGGTGAAATGCTTTTTTCAGGGTTTGAGTGCTCATTACTGCACCACTTTATTTATACTGTATCTAACTGGTTTTTTACCTCTTGTCTTCATAGAAACATTTTATTTTTGCTTCGGCTGGGACAACAACAGTCACTGGGAGTGTGTTCCTACGTGCACGATCCTGTGTGTATCTTTACACTTGTGTGCCTTCACAGAGCAGTGTTTAACAGACCAACAGACGTGGATTTTATGAGCCGTTGCTAATGTGAGCTTCTGCAGCTATAAACCACACTGCGAAGAGGGTCCGTGTATCTGTGTGTGTGTTAGTGTTTCAGTATTACTTGACCACAGGGGAGTTGTTGCACAGCCGCTCTGATCACCATGTAAATCAGAGCAGTTAGGGAGGACTCACTGACAGGAATCGAGCCCCCCCCCCCCGACCCCCCCAGGGCAGAGTCTGCCCAGATAATGTTGCAGGCATTTAGACAAGTGACGTGATAAGTAAGCTAATGCGGCCAAGATAGAAACTGATGCAGGATTTCACAGTTTCACACCAATTTCAGAGAAAGGTTGAGTGGAAATGTCACGGTAGCCTTCAAACGTAATGATTGACTGTGTGTACAGTAATTCATAACCCTCTTCAAAATTCTCCAATCTCCAAGAAAAAAAGCGTGTGGTTGTCCTTGGATCCACTCTGACCGGCACATAACCCAGACGTCAATCACACAATATGCCTTGTGCATGTGTGAGTGAGAGCCATAAGACATAGACCTCTATCCAAATGCCTGTAACAAACCCAAGTGTCACTAACCAACAAAATTAGACTGTGTCCGATTTCAGCTCGATCCTTGGAAGTGAAAATTGAGTTCACTTCCAAGGATCAGCTTCACTAAAAGTGTGCATGAGGCAAGAAATACGAGCACTGAAGACCTTCACACATGTTATTAGAAAAGCCAACAGTTTACCTATATTGTTTCCATACTGCCACTTCAAGCACTTTTCTTTTTGAAGTTCCTTATCCTGATTTCTAAGTGGCAATTAGGTTTGAATAATTGCAATCTATATCCAGTGTTCCCCCTACCATTGTCTCTGCGGGGCGCCAAATTGCAACTAATCTATCTACTGTCACTTTTCACATTGAACATGTGCTCTTTTATTAACTAAACTAAACACTTTCATTTTAAGTTATGAGTTTAGTGATTTTGACCTAAGAAAACACCAATGGCATTAATCAATAACAATAAATCCACAGCTCCTCTTTGCTCCAGAGGATTTAAAAAAATAAATATCCAACCAACACTATTGCACAAAGCTTTTAGACCACACACTTACCAATTACACCCATTTCATGCCTCCAGTGAGTGCCGCCGGCTGTGCAGGTCCGCGTTACATAACCACATTACACAGCATGTACCATCGCTGTGTAATAAACTAATGTTGCACACGTACCAACACAATAAAAAAATGTAACGTATCGTAACAGAAACTCATTGGTTCACTAAAAATATAAAAGTATGAACGACATAAGCCGCATAAAAACCAATACAATCAATTACTGCAGTATCACATTACTCCATCACATACCAGACTTACCCCCACCCTAACCCATCCTGAGCTAATGCCTGCAGTCAAAGCATTTCAGTTCAAGGGTGTTGTGGTTACGACACGCACCCTGTCAGTGCTTCACTGTTAGAGCTGCTGAATCCAATGAGTCCCCCCTCTCTGTCTCTTTCACTCTCTTCCTGTCCTCTCTGGGGCCATCTGCTTATACATTACATGACCGATGCCCAAGGACAGACTCACTGGTATGGTGTCCAGCTGGTCTGGAGTCTCCTAACCTGTTTTTATATTTTCAATTCTACAGAAACCTTCTATTTAGGAGCATTGCACTGTGAGTGTGTGTTTGTGCGAACGG